AAGCAGTTTAAAAAACAGGGCTTTCTGATGTTTAGATCTTGACAGAAAAGAAATAGGTAATACATTGCTAAAGATACAACTGGCAGCCTGGAAGTGGAGCTCACTTATGTGAGGTAAATGCTCATTTATTTATTTATCTATGCAGTATATAACCGACCTTAAATTATTCGAATTTGTTTCTGAATGCTTGTTTTTGTCTGTTTCTTGAAAAACAAATAAGGGAATAACTTTCCAATGTTGCCTGAATTGTTCCGTTCTAACTATATATCAAATATAAGAATTTTCGTTGAAAATTGCATTTATTAAGTAAATATTTATTTAAAAGTATGGCCTTTAAACAGTATTTAATAATTTATCTAACAATTTTGAATGTTTGTGTAGCATAAAACCTTATAAATAAAAGCAAGAGATTGGCTGAATAAGTATTCGCCAAACTTATCTCAGAATCGCCAAGTTTTGTATTCACTTTTAAATATTTCCTTTTGCTTTGTTAAAAATAAATACTCACCAGTTTCTAATTGTATTTCATTTCATTTTACTATTATATCAGATAGTTAGCTTTTTTTTCCTGGCTAATTTAATTTTTTAAAGTTACTTATGGTAATATTATATCGCTTAAAATTCAAACGATTTGTTTCCATTTATAATAAAAAATCTAATTAGTGATCTTTCATGCGTTTTACGTTTTTGGATCGATAAATGTTGTTTTCTTTTTCTTTAAAATTTATACGATAAATTTCTAAATTAATTAGTTTCTGTTGGAGAAAAGTTAATAAGAGTATGTTTAGAAAATGCAAACTTTGAATCTTTTAATGAGATTTAATTTAAGTACGAAAATATAAAACATTATTTAAAATTTTCTAGCAGGTTCATTTTGTTGAATCTCAACTTAAAGTAAAAAGGAAAGATAGTAACAAAAAAATTAAGGCCTGATATTATTTCAAATCCTTTAAAAATTCCTCCAAAAGGACTGAAATGGATAAGTTGTCTAAAACCAGGATTAATTTTAGATGAGCTTAAAACTAATGCAAATATAAATTTACCGATTCTTCTCCATTTGCTTGAATTTTTTTAAATTTTTTTATAATTATTAAACAAGCAAAAATATGTATTAACTGTTTCTATCTGGCTATGAATAATATTTTTATTTTGAATAACAATAATAATATATTTTTTAATGAATTTGTTCTAACCAATCATAATCGAGAAACACACACTACGTCATTTGCTGGTACCCCATTAGTATTGTTAAAATCAACAAACTCTAGTTTCTGGGTACACCATTAAATTTCTTAGTTTCTGCAACAAAACTATGTTAACTTGCTGTTACGTAGATTTGGAAACAGTTTAAATTATATAATCTTATTTATGATACCTATTGACACCTAATGCAACAGTTTCCAATATCATAACCTTTTAGAACTCAGTAATGCTTCCGTAACGAAATGCTTATTTATCTTCATAACAGAATTAATAAAGATACATTTTTTAAAACAACTGTTATAAATTTCAATATCTAAGATCAACCGAGAAAATAGTAAAATAAATATTTAAAACAATTTCTTAAGTTTCCATTTCAATATTCCCAGATTTAAAACTACATAGATCACGAAATTTCCGTTTATCGAGTAAACAAACAATACTTGAGCTTTCTTCGGGAGTTGTTTAATTTATACCTTTTATCCGTTGCCATTTCCCTTTAACAAAATACTTTCCTTTAACATTTTCTGGATAAATATTATCTTTTGCAGCTATGAATAACTCTATTTTTAAATAATGATTAGTTATTAATTATATTCCGTTTGCAGCAGTTTAGTAAGAAGAGGGGACGATAATTGGTTCCACAAATTCTTTGAAACGAAAAGCCAAACGTAGAATTAATTTGATTAAGTTGTTCGATTTATCTCAGACGATTCTTCCTTTTATTTACCATTTAGACGAGGTGTCAATGGCATCGGCTGTTTATTCACGACGTTGACTGTGAAGTATCCTATTATTTGTTTGCAGCTGGAAAAGAATGAAATAATTGGGCATTGCTGGATATTTTATTGCCTCCAGAAAAAACTGGCTTGAAGGGAAAATATTGCTTTTTCTTTATAGTTAATCGTGATGTCTTTTGTAATCGCAGAAAAATAATTTTATAGATTAAATGATGAAAAAAGGATAATTTTAAAATTACTTTGAATTACTTTGATTTCTAATGTATAATTTTTGAATATAATATCTGTACGGTTTAAAGTTAAATTTTTTCTTTAGTCGAAGTGTTGACGGTTATGTTATCTAAAGTTACTCTTTTCATTCTTTGCAACTATGTCATCGTTATGTCATCTAAAGTTACTATTTTCATTCTTTACAACTATGTCATCGTTATGTCATCTAAAGTTACTATTTTCATTCTTTGCAACTATGTCATCTGAAGTTACTATTTTCAATCTTTGCAACTATATCATCATTATGTCATCTAAAGTTACTCTTTTCATTCTTTGCAACTATATCATCATTATGTCATCTGAAGTTACTCTTTTCATTCTTTGCAATGTCATCTAAAGATACTCTTTTCATTCTTTGCAACTATGTCATCGTTATGTCATCCAAAGTTACTATTTTCATTCTTTGCAACTATGTCATCATTATGTCATCTAAAGTTACTATTTTCATTCTTTGTAACTACATTGTAAAAAAATTCCGAATCAATTACGATAAAAAGTACTCGCACTCAGGGTGACGGTTCTTTTCATCGTAAAATTCATTTGTTCCGGAACATATTACGGCAAAAAATCTGATATACCGTAATTTTCACATTATGCTACTTTACGGTGAGAATAGGTTTTACGGTAAAAATGGATTTTACTCAAAGTGCCGGTACTTTATATCGTAATTTGATCCAGATTTTCTCTCAGTGTAGAAAATAATGCAACTATCAAAAAATTAGAAATTTTTCAAAACTTTACAGCTTTGAGTAAAAATAAATTTTTTTCAAAAAAATAATGCATTTTAATTAAATGCAATTTAATATTTAATGTTAAAACAAAAAAAAACCTATCTTTGGATAAGGAATGGAAAAAAACGGAAAATCGAGAAATTACTTCAAATTCTGCAAGTTTATCGAATATCATATATTACACTACAAGCGCAAATTAGTTAATAAGGTATATTAGCCGGTTATTATACATAAGGTAAAACAAATGGTTAATATGAAACGCTTGTAATTATGTCACGTCAGCTTGTTATTTGTCATAATATTTAATCTCAGTATCCATTTTCATGATTAGGACGCTTATGATATGAATTAGGCTTAGCGAAACAAAATACATCTAATTCATAACACAAATTGGATGTTATTCATAACTGATTATTATTTGTTACGATTTATTATTGTTCGGAAAGATATTAATTTAGTTTTAAAACTATTTAGTACTTAAAACAAATTATATGAAATTGAAATTATTTTATCGTATTGCCAGCTTATTTGTTTAGCATGTATAATAAATAAGTTCATTGAAAAGAATAGGGTCAAAACTTTTTTACTCCTAGTGATGTACCAAAATGGTGGGAAAAAGAATGTTTCAGATTTTTTTACCTGACTCGGTTGTTGTATGGACATGGAACTAATAAATTAAGGTGAGGAGCATTTAGACATCTCACAAAACAGCTAGAACTTGCCACACTTTACTGAAATTGGAGATGAACTTAGGAAATTGAATTATACCTCAAAAACAATGAAACACTGCACACATACGAATCGATATACACACTATTTTTTTTTCTAAGCTCAAGGAACAATTAAATTGGGATGCGCAAAGCACCATCTGTGGACTGTAGAATTAAACACTTAGAATCTGGTAAAAGTTACCGTGTTTCTGGCTCTATGGGAACGCCATAAAGACAAGTACTTTTTACGGAAGCACTTTGGTAATTATTTTGGTAAAATTAACGATAAAAAGTTGTTTTAAAAATATGAATCAAAATTTGGTAATTTTATCATGATTCCTTAGAGCTTGGCAAAAAAAAAAATTATACGGTAAAATTTACTTTCCAATTTCATACATTTTGCTAAATGTATGGAAATAATAACTATAATTTAAAAAAAAAAGAATTTCTGGGAAAACGTTACCATATGAACGACAACCATTACGATATGACTGATTCAAATACCATATATTTTGGTTTTAGTACTGTCTTTTTATCAGAATTTTTTTGTGTCATGTTTGTACCTGATTTGCTTCATTAAATGTTAAGATATATTTCATATAATTATTGAAATTGCTTCTTTGGGAATACAACCGGTAAAATTAAAATAAACATTTGAAGGGTAAAAAAAAATTCATCGGAAAATTGAAAAATGAAATATTTTATATCATTTTATTGTTGAAATGACATAAAAATATTTTACTTTTCATATTTACTTTTAAAAATACTAAAAAGACGTACCGTATTAAAATAAATTATGTTTTCGAAATTCAAAGAAATTTTTCGTTTCATGCAACTAAATTTTAATTGCCTTTCATCTCCAATATCACATTCCTCTTTAAAGTACAGTACAAAAATGCCTATTATTCGCCAGAGATATTTTACCTTGCTATCTTAACAGAGCATATGTATTTTTTCAGAAATATTTCTTACGTGTAGCCTTGCCTTGTAAATATCGTGCACATTTCCATAGTAATTGGAATTAACATTTTCGTAGTAATATATTGCAATTGATTTTCTGGGTAATAGATATGTACCGGTTGCAATTAAGGTTTGCAATAAAAAATGCAATTAAGGTTTTGAACGAGATAACAATAATGATATAATTCGTACATAAACCGTATTTTTCTAAAAAAAAAACAAACTGGAACTTTAACAATGCTCTATTTTCTGATAATTCTGAAACATTACTTTTTAGGACTTATAATTAAATATCATCCCTAGTTACCTATATAATTATCCTATATATCTTCCTAGTTACATATATATCCTAGTTACCTATATAATTAGAGATCATATATAATAGTTACCTTCATCTTGAGCCCAGTCTGCTAAACACGGTATTCTTGATTGGAAACTGCTTTGGCATTTCTCGTAACGTCCGCCATCGTCCAAGCCGACAGTTTCGAACCGACCTTTGACCCCGCACAGCAAGGCAGTTGCACAAGCACCCGACTCTCCTACTTGGCTGTCAGTGTTATAAGTCTGGAAAAAAAATAAGTCTATGGAATTTTGACGGTCAACCTTTAAAACTATTACACTGATTCAAACAATTTTTTCTTGTGATAATGTTAAATTGGATATTTTCAACTAGAGAAGAAGACAACTGATATGCAACCACCTGACCTATAACTTCAGTGCCAGCCAATCGGGATCGATAGTCACGATGACGTTGCTTGCTGATATCCAATTATAAAGATAAATAAATTAGGCACGTTATACAATTCAGGAAACATGTGAGGTAAATATATTACGGAAAAATGCAATCTTTAGAGTTCAATTCAAATTTTACAGTAAATTATGGAGCAACATAGTATATTTCTTTTCTTCCTCTATGACGTCACGATTTGTTTTTGAATCTATTTTAAAACCGTCTGCTTTATGCACCGAGGTGGTGCAAGAATTAGCTTATTAAACAAACTGTCTGGGCTTGAATTCTGGTGATGAATAATTCATCTCTATCTCAGCTGAAAAAAAGCGTCGTTCAATTACAATTTTTTTCAGCTGACAATTTTTATGGTATATATTGATTTGAGAGTAACAAGTACAGAATTCCTGAGTGTCAGTATTTCCAGAATTAAATCTGCATGACAGTTTCTTATTTTATTTCTTTTTTTTTAACATCATAGGATGTTGTGATATACAAAAGGATCGCGTAATGACATAGTATAAGGGTGGGAAAAATATTTTATTTTTCTAACTTTTGTCTGAAATATAGTTTGCAACGTGTGACAAGGGGAGAGACGAGATAACAAGAACTGTGACATCACCCCTTTTGCTTAAAATATGAAAAAAAACTTTATTGAATATTTTGATATTATTAATTTTTATAATTCATATTATGTTTTTTCTTATCACGATTAGTACACATATAATCATTAATAATGGGATCAGAAATAATAAACAGTTAAAGTTAAAAGTATAAAAACACATAAAGTTTAAAAATGAAGTCTGAAATATAAACTACCCTCAGACAAAAAAATATGGCCAAAACTTAGAAGTACTGTAAAATTTACCGTGTATTTGAAACTATATGAACACCAAAAAGCTCGATCATTTTTACTGATACAATGTGGTAATAATTTTGGAAAATTAAAAATAAAATATGGTTTTATAATATGTGATAATATTTATAAGTATGGTAAAAATTTGGTAATTTTATCATGATACCTTAGACATGGCAAAATCATTTATTCGGTTAAATTTACTTTTCAGTTTTCTATTTTTTACTAAATGTGTGGTAATACGAACTTTAATTTTGAAACCAGAATTTCCAGTAGACCATTACCGTATGAATGGAAAAATTACAAATGAATGGTTTAAATACCGAATAGTTTGGGCTTTTTGTCCAAAATTATTATTTTTTTTTACCAGAAAAGCCATTACTATACAGTGCGGATTTTAATCGGAGTTTTTTCTCCGTTTAAAATTTAACGCTGTGCTTCTTAATTGCAAGTTGTGTTAGAATGATGTAGTGTGACATGTGACAAGGGGTATGGTGAAGTGTGATCATTAGTGACAAAATTAAGGGGGGAATTTTAAAAAAAACATCACGCAACTTATTCAAGGTCTTGTAAAAATATTGAAATCAACGTTAGCTTACATTACAACAAATGAACTTTATAAGAAAGCTACATGATCAACAAAGAATTTCTATTATTTCATTAAAAATAGCGAAAAGATTTAGAATTTCACAGAAATATGAGAAAAAAATCAAAACGCAATCGGTTTAGAGCAGTACATAGTTTATGTCACCGAATTTCTTATTCTAACGTTAAAACCATTGAAAAAATGCAAACGACATGAAAAAATACCTCAAAAAAATTGTAAACTAATTTTAGTTAAAATTCATAGAGTAGCGACTATGAATTTTAACTAATTTACTAATTTTTAGAGCTACTTTTTAATCTAAACAAATCATTATTTTACAAAAGATTAATTTAATACAAATGATAAGCTTCCTGTATTCTTTAGCCACTTTTGAGTAATAATACTTAAAAAGCGCTCTCTATCTCTCAGGGAAAAAAAGAACATCACTCCAATGAAAGAAAGAAATAAAAACCGATCTCATTACTTGACCACTTTAGTATCTTGAAATGTTTTTGAATTCTTTGTTAAAGAATTTTATTTTACTTTATTTTCCCGAAATAAAAGTGTTTCTACTAGGAAAAGAGCATCGCTGTATTTTTTTTTATGATTGCTGCCTTTTAAATTTTTTTTTCTTCGTATAATCTAAAAATTGAGGATAATAAGGGTTTCGCTAGTTGAAACCACTTTCTGATATTTGATTAAAATTCCGTCGAACTTACTGATATTTTATTTTTCATTTGACACTTCTAATGTCAATTTCAATTATAATTCGCGACTTTGATCTAGTTTCAAATTAACGAGTGGTTTTTAAATATCACTATTGTTATATGTTTGTTTGAAACTCATTCCTGAATGATACTTTCAAATAAAGCTGGGAAGAGTTGAATTAGAATATCGATCTGCATTGTTGAGAAATGTGATTTTAAACGATAAGCCTCAATTATAATGGCTAACGAACATAATATATTTAAATGCTTTTTAAAGGTAAATTTTTTATTTGATCACAAAATCTTTAACGCAAAACATCGCTGTTTAAATACTTCGATATTTAACGTTAGAATACCAATCGGCGAAGTACTGAAAAAAGTGGAATTAACATAAAGCTATCTAAAAACTTTCGACAGATCTTTTAAAAAAACTATTTTGTATTTTTCAGATTTCTGTTATCATATCTTATTTTGAGAGTTAAAACTCTGATTCAATCAAATAAATAAATGAGAATAAACCAAAATAAAAACGATTAGTTCACTTAAAAAAAGTACGTTTATGAGTTTGATTTAATAGTGTATTGTTCAAGTATTGTTCTCTTTCATTGATATAATAAGAATGTCTAACGTAATTGCATCTTAACGCGTGCAAATATAGTCATTACATCAAAATTTTTTATGGTAGTAATACTTTTTCTCCGCTGTGCAGACACTGTTATTTAATAAATAATCAGATTAATTAACATGTAAAATTATATTTCATACAAATACTTCACGATTTAGTAGTTAAGAAGGGAAAAAAATTCTTGTAAAATTACTATTTTTGTATGGTTATGATATTTGTGGTAAAAAGAACAACGTAAATCTGATAATAAAACCAAAATACACAGTAATTGAAGAATTTATTTGGTAATTTTTCAGTTTGTATGGCAACGGTTTACCAGAAATTCCAATTTTTAAAATTATAGTTTTAATTACCTTACATTTAGTAAAATATACGAAACAAGAAGGTAAATTTAACCAAAATAAGGGTTTTTATGCCATGTTCTACGGTTTTATAATAAAACTACCAAATTTTACCACATCTGTTACCAAACGGCATGATAATAAAGTAATGTTTTGTTTTAAATTTGTCAAAAAACATTACTAATGCATTTCGGTAAATATTATCGTGCTTTTCGGTCTTCACATAGAGCCAGAAACACGGTAAATTTTACCTTATTTTGGTAATTTTGACCATACTGTTTTTCTCTGTGTAGGAATGTGCTGCATGATTGCTTAAAAATAAGATAGTACTTTATAAAAATAATATCGATTAATTTTGAAGTAAAAAGAATAATTAGTAAACGTAAATAAAAAAATTAGAGACATAATTTTTAAATTAGTATTTCGAAATCCATTAGTGATTATTTTGAAACTGTGCGTACAAAAAAAAAACTCGTTTTCATTTAAATTTGTTTCAATTAATGTTCAACTTTTAAAAACATCCCCAAGGTACAGACGATAAAAAATAAATAAAACTTTAATTAAACTGTTTTTAGCTACAAGATGAGAACAACTGAGTAATTTAGCTATTAGAAATAGCTTTTAAATAAGCAAGTCTGTCAGAAAATTTAAGTAAGCTAATGCAAGTGATTGATAAAAAGAACTAATTATATCGTTTGGTTAATTTATTTATACACGAATGGTAATTTATTATTCATGATTTAGAATTAACGAAATAAAATATCTACGCGACAAAAAAAATAAGTTCATTCTAACATTGTTTTACGTGACTTCGCATATACTTTTTATTTTTATTTTATTTCAAAAACTTACAAAACATTTTGAGCAATAAAACACTCAAAACAAAACAAAAAATTAGCAAGTTTTAAAGGACAAATTCACTCAACGATTTTGAAAAAAAAGTATTNCCAATACCGCACACCCTCGGTCCCTACGCAGACTGATCCAAGTGGTCACCCACCCGCACACTGACCGTAGCCAGTGATGCTTGACTTCGGTGATCTGCTGGGAACCGTGTCTTAACGATCAGTTCACTGCGGGACGCCATAAAGAATGATCTGGGCTTTAGAATGGACAAATAAAATATTTTAATAGTTATTAAACTTTTTTAAAAATCGTCAATTTGGCGACATTTTCCCACCTCGATTAAAATTATTAAAATTACTACCTTATTCTCACATTTTGCAAATTTTTATGCGCCTAATGCAGCATCGGTGTAAGTTTTTAAATATTAAAAATTAACATCTTTTACTCGTGTTAACATATTTCACCATTTTTAGAATGAGCATTGACAACGATAGGCTATATACTTAATCTAGCAGTCATGAGTATCTATTGCAAACCCAGAGTAGTTATAAAAATGGTAATTTTTTTCTTCTTCCAATGCCCACTTGGAGAATGACCTAAGACATACAGACATCTGAAGGGCAGATTTGTTGGCCACTCTTTCAGGGGCACCATATTAAATGGGCCAATGCTGCTCACACAGTAAGGACAGATAGTACAGAGAAGGAAAGAACATCCATCCCTTGTCCGGGATTCGAACCCAAAACATTTCTGATGCAAGGCCAGTTTCTTGACCCCTACGCCGGCCGATCGACTGATAATGGCAAATTATACGCATTAATTTTATGTGGGCAATGAAGCCATGAGTTGAGACAACATTATTGTCATATATTTGAG